TTTCTTAGCTTGTCAAAACCTTTTTCTCTTGTGAACTGAAACAATAGATTTTCCTGCATATTCCAGTTTGAGTTCTGTGTGCACATCCATTTTACAGATGTGGCCTATTTGTATGCAGAATGTTGGTTCCTCACCTCTCAGGCAGATGCACTCTTGCTTCAGAGGTATACTCCTAATTAGCTTACTTTTATGAAATGTTTGGGGGGGGGGGGGGGGGGGGGTTCCCCCCTTCTACAATGGCGCCCCAGAACTCACACAGGAAATTTGAATAGTAAGTAGCAAAAGCCCCTGTTTATGCTGGTTGTGTAAAGGTATATGATGCTAGACTCACTGTTACAGACCAGTAGCACTGGGAGGGCCATGTGGTCTACACTGCCCATCTTTATTTCCTTGGTATCATTTTAGGCTGGGTCAACCTAAAAGCCAAAGTCAATTTTGAAGAAAAAAAACAATCCTCGCTTGATGTTGATTTGAACTCAAGACCTTCAGATCAGTAGTCAAGCATCTAGCCACAACACTACCAGGGCGTCCAAACTGAATAGTAGCTGGTGGCAGATTCATAAATGACAATGTCGAGGTCTGTATGCATGCATTTAAGAGGTTAGCATGGACTTGTCTGGAACTAGCTGAAAACAGTTTGGGAACCACTGGTGTTGATGGTATTAAAACAGTATGGATTGCTGTAACAACCACCATTTAGGCTGACAGGCCTGTCACACTACACCATTATAACGGGAGATCAGAACTCACTTCACTGGGATAAACTGCCTTTAAGCAGAAAGTTTCAAAACCACACGACTTCTGTAACAGACTGTTAACGACCAGGACAGGCACACTGAGTAAGTAGTGACCCCAGAGTCGATTGCAGCCATTCTCAAACATCCCACACTTGTTGGACTGACAGGCATACATCACTATTTCATCACCACTGGACCATTCCCAGATGAATTTGTAAACATTCTACCCTTTTACTGATCAGAAAAATGAATAGCAGAACACTGTTTCCTTTGGTACATGCCAAAAGTGGGACTGTCATCTTTAAACAGTTATTATGGCATGACTGTATTGATCGACACTGTGATGTCATGTGCTTAACATTCTTGACATCCATTAAGACAATACTGACAGGTTACAAGACAATGGCATAGTAATTGTAATTTCTATACCACATTTAAGGTTTTCATTTGAAGCCCCATGTAGAAGCTAAACATTTCAAATACTGACAAAATAAAACATCTATGTATGCATACAAGAAAATGAAGAGAAAGACTATCAAAGTAGCTGCTGTGTGGGAGAAAAAGAGTTAATTAGTAATGAGATTATCATAACAAACAAACTGGGACGGAAAGTAATCGGAGAGAATCAAAGTAACAACTGGCTGGTACAGCAGTGAAGCTCAGAGAATCAAAGTAACAACTGGTTGGTACAGAAATTATTCTGAGAGTATCTTATGGCTGGTACAGGAGTTAATCTAAGAGAATCGAAGTAACAACTGACTGGTACAGGAGTCAACCTGAGAGAATCAAAGCAACAACTGTTTGGAAATGGGATAGATGACACAAACAGCCGATGCAGAGTTTTTTAGATTGATTCAAAGTAACATCTGGCATGACTGAAGAGGCAGTGACTAGGATTATAATGATCAAAATCACAACTGGCCGGAACACAAGGTGTTAATGTAACAGCCTGTGGTGACATCCATCAGCAGGTATGCTATTAAGTCAGCCAAAAGAATTCACACTGCATATGAGTTTTATAATGTGAAATCTATATATAAAGCTGGCAGGGGTGGGGGTGCAGTCGATGTTAGAAACTGTTCTCACAAGTTTTGTCAATCAATAGGAAATATTTCATTCGCTGACTGCAGGGTTTCTTAATGATCAATCAGGTATAAGGACAAAGTGTGAAATAATCAGTGTCAGGTAGGCTGCAGAGTGATGGATAGAAGAGAAAGATGTGGAAAATCTGGCCATATATCAGATGCATGCGCAAGAATTATGGGGAGGAAAAGAGTTTTGAAAAAAGAAGGAAGATAAAAACAAGTCTTAGAGAGGAAAAGGTAGAGGGTAATGGAAGAATGGTGAAAAGGAAAAGAATATTAGGAAGGGAGAGGGTGAAGGAGGGAGACAGAAAAGAGAGAAAGAGAGAAACGGAAACCAGGAGAACTATACTCACAGCTGCGAAAGAAAAATCAATATCTTGGAACCATTTAAGGTTTAGGCATCACTTTGATTTAAGTACCTGGCCATATCGGAGTTGTGGATGACATGAGAAGAAGATTCAGCAGTTGAGTTTTTTTTTTTTTCTTTTTATCTTATGCCATAAAGCATCACAGAGAGGAGTTAGATAAAGTTCCCTGCCTTCTGCTAGTTGCTTAGCTTGTTTTAATGTCATATTGGGTTTCTGCAGTGTTTCTTTTACTCCACCTATCTCGTTCCTACTGACTCGTAGCCTGTTGTTCTTATGTAGTACAATCTAGCTGCTGGCCGCTTTTGTTCCATTCTGACCAGATGACTTAACCATTTGATGTTCTATGAAATCATTGTGCAGCACTGTGCCTACCATTGTTCTTAGTCAGTTAGTTTATTGGTGACTGTCTTTTCTTGCTTTTCCTGCTGCATTTCTTCAGTCACTGTCTTACATTTAATTTGTATGACACTAGGGTTGACCCAGCCTCATAAAAATTGTATCAGGTGATGTGTAAGTGAATGGGCCACTGCATCTCATGTGTCATAGTTCCAACATTTGATATCCCAAAGGCAGTCTCTGCTGTGAGACCACGATTAGGGAAGTATTAGGAGAGACTAGGCGGGACAGGGTTCATGACCCTGAGGATAAGGGGGAACATGGCTAGGGCAGTCGCTATAAACTGCAGGTTAGGACTTGTATCTCTGTCCCCATCAGTCAAACAAAAATCTCTACATGTTACAAGGGATCTCTTGCATGCTCTAACCTCTGAGCCAGCCACTCCTGTTCTACATTCTTGTACATGTCCTAATTAACAACCCTTTGCTTTACTTGAACATTAGACTAGAATCTATTTCTCTGACATCTTTGTGAAAGTCTTCTTCTTTGTCTTACTGAAGGTAAAATTTTTTGCTACACTTTGTACAATCACTCATCATCATGAAGCAGGTCCTTGCAGAACTCATTCTCATCACAGTCCGTCTGAAAGAATCTCAGTCTCTTGCCAGATCTGTCACCTCGTGCACTTTCATACCCAAGGTGTCAATTTTATCCTGTCCCCATTTTCATACTGGTCTACCTCTGCACCTCTTTCCTGGCACTATTCTTTTCAATCCATCAGGGCACTTGATGTGGCCAAAATATTTCAGTTTCCGAGACAATATTCTGTTTACCAGCCAATTTTCCTTGCTGTTCAGATCTTTTAGTAGTTAGTCAGTATTTCTTGTTCTTTTTCATCCATGGTATATAGCAATCATTTCTCTAGTTCTTTCTGACTTCATATCATGATATCTGCATAATACATTTTTTTAAATTTTTATAATCACAACCAACTGCAACTTCCTGTCATATTTTCTACAGATCTATTTAACACTGTGTTATGAAAATGAATCAAGGCAAAGTACTCATCCTTGCCTAACACATTTCTTTATGCATGAAACAAATGGTTGTCAATTTTGCTGTTTGACGTCAATATGTATTCATTACAATTCTAAGACCTTTGGCATCCATTTGTAAGTGTTCTATTTGTTTCTTCATGCTTCCCTCTGATCATTTTTAAAAAAAGAGATACTTCCAATAATGAATTACTGCTGAAAAAATTCCAATAAAAATAAATCTTTGGCAGAGTTGTAAGTAGATATTCCTTTAACAATTTTAATAAGAGATGCCTTTAAAACAGCTCAAAATAAGCTGTGTCATTAACAGTTTCAACAAAGATAAATAGGGTTATTCAAAATGATGGATATACTTTCATTCATGTATTTTATTTTAATATACATTACATATTAATAATATAAATGCAAGAGAGAAAGGAAAAGGTGTGAAGTTTACAAATTTACAATAGACGTCATAGATGTTCATTCAATATGGCCACTTGTCTACTGCTCAACAAATATCCAAGCAGAAGCGGAACTCATCCCCGCGAAGAAGCATCATTTGCGTGAGTTTACTGCAGCTGTAATTTGATGCTGAAAGTCAGCCAGTTTCTAATGGTAGTATTCAAAACTTTTGACCTTCCCCTGTCTTGTATGTATATTATTAATATTCAATATACATTAAAGGAAATATACGTGAATGAAAGTGTGTCCATCACTCTAAAAAACACTGTTTATTTTTGGCTGTACCCACAACGATATATCTTTGGAATACAGATATCCTTAAGCTTCAATCAAGGTAAACTTTTAAAATTGTAATAAGCTATACCCTTGAAAGAGTTCCAATAATGACAAGTGCCTATCAGCTTCAATAAAGATAAACAGTGAAAGAGTTTCAATAATATGAAAATAACAGTTCCAACAAGGCCGTACCATTACATCACAATGGTTCTCTCTGATAAAGATATACCACCAATAAAACATGCACATTTGATAAGTTTCAGTCATGATACAAAATGATAAAAGTTCTCCAAGAGCATTTAAAAGCTCATGTGCTGATTCCCCTAGAGGTTGTCAAGACACTGCTAGCACTGTCTAATAATATACCTTTGCTAAAAGTTACATCTCTGATGGAGTTTCAATAAAGATGTTACTTTGGTGAACTAGAGAGGGAAAAAAAAGACTATATAGATCTTGAAGACATTACCAGCACAAACTCAAGTAAAAACAAATCATAAATTATTTCAAAACACACATCTCAAACATAAATTTACTTAATAAAAATCAGTAAACAAATCTCTAGCAATACATAAGAACATTAAAGCTATGTACAGTTGAAATGCTTTGTTCATCAACTGAGCTTGTGTACTGTTGCATTTAAACCCAAGAACAAACGAAAAAGTGAAAGACTTTTATATCTTGGCATGTAATGTAGTTCTGTCAGTGGCGCTTCTCGTCAAACAGCATTAAGGTTTTAATTGTGCCGTTTTCCATTAAGTACAGGTCATTGTTTGACCGCCGCAGATATGCAGCGGCCTTGCCAAACACACTGTAGGTCAGTAGCAGGATATCACACTTGCTTAAGACATACTGATCCGCAATGACTTTTTCAAAGCCTGAACATGGATCCACTGGCGTTATATTTGTTGCATTCTCCTTCTTTGTGTGATCCTTCACTTTATCTATGTGGATAACATCTCCTTCTATATTGATACTGATATTCTTGTATAAACTGTTCACCTTCTCCCTAAAGCCTTGCCAGTCACTTGCTACAAATATGCGATATTTCTGCGGGTCTGAATACTTATCTAGAAACTTCCACAGCGGTTTTATGGTTGTTAATGTATTACGGACATCAGAGTCCGTAGGTATTGTTGGGTTTCTACCGAATCTAATGTGAGCACATGCCAGTTTGTGATTTTTCGAAGGGTGGGCTTTTTTAAGAGCTGGCGAATACTTTCTCACGACACGTTTGTTCATTTTAAAAATACTCTGCCATAAATCTGCAAAGAGAATGGGTCGAGGCCTACCCTTGACCTTCTGTCGGAATATGTCCTTGTACCTTGGATTGGCCTTGAGATTGTAAAAATAGTCGTAATTTGTAGTCAGGTAGACCACATCCTGGGGATACTCCTCATCAAAGTCAATTATCCTCATGGACTCCCGAAATTTGCGGTCATTGAGTGCATACAGATGTGTGCTAGAAAGGCCATCCAGCTCAGACTGGTTGACCTTCCAGTTGACCAGCCGCGGATGGTAAAGCTTGGTCAGCGGGCACGGGCTCTGCATCTCCACTTTAAAGGTTCTGTTGGTGACTAAAGACAGAAGGTAGGCTGAGAATATTCCATGCTGCCTGTCCCCCCAGCCAGCGCAGGTCAGCTTACTGTGACATAAATACACAATGTATCTTTCTCCGTTCCAATCATCCCTGGTCCGCTGGGGGTTGTTGTAAATCTGCATCTCCAAGGGTACAAACAACTTCCTCCGCTTCTGCACTTTCTCATGGGTGGGCCACTGGTCCTCTTTTCGCATTTTCTTGGGAGGCAGTGGCTCCAGTTTCTTCTCTCTGGCCTTCTTTTTCTCAATGTGCAGGGCAATATCGATCTCGTTAAGAATAGGCCGGACCTCATCAGCAGCCGAGTCCTGGAAATAAATAAATACTAAACAATATCACCCTGATTATGAATATCTTCATCTTTACACAAGTCAGACCAGAAAGAGAAGAAGCAGGAAGGAATAGAACTGGTCACTATATCTCCTAGTGCTGTGACACATTTGAGAAATACTTAGAGGTATGATCTTAAGTAAAAGATCACAGACCAACCAGCAACATGCTGGCCACCTTTACTTCCGAGGACATTACCTTGTACCCATTTTAGGCTCGGCTGACCCTGGAAATCAAGGTCAATTTTGAGAGACAAACCTGCCTTAATGTGCATTTGAAGCTTTATCTTCATGCCGGCGGGAGAGTTTCTAGCCATTACGCTGATGTGTCTACCTTACAAGTATGATGCCTGCCTCTAACTCAGTGGTTCTCAACCTGTGGGTCACAATAATTTTTTTGGGAGGGGGGGGGGGGGGTGAAACAACCCTTTCACAGGGGTCACCTAAGACTACAAGAAAACACATATTCACTGAAGTTATGAAAATAATTGTATATCCGGGGGTCGCCACAGCATGAGGAACGAGATTAAAGGGTTGCAGTATTAGGAAGGTTGGGAGCCACTGCAATAACTCAAGTAGTCCTGGTTTATTTCAATAAGGACAATGGCCGCACACAATAGGTATAGGTACCAACACTCCACATTCAGAGGAAAGGCAAGATATACATAAGACTAGTCTGCAGCTAGCAGTTTTATATTACTAACTTTTTAAAATCTTATGTCTATAAATTTTAAACTACTAACATAATTATTTACTGTAGCAATACCTTATTATTAATCCTTAAAGTCCCTGGTCATTTTTATGTATAAGTGTCTGATCCACAGCGGTAGTAGTTGTACCTTATGTTATAAGGGGCTATACATACATTTTTGACACTAGACCCTATGGTAAGGTAAATACTTAAAAACTGTTTCCTTTTTCAAATGACAAAAACAATAATATTCTTTTTCCTGAAAAACTCTTCTTTGCATGTGCTGTTTTATATTTAATGTCTTTATTACATCTTCCATCTGCTATTAATATTTTCAAATCTTGAACACACTGATTTTACCCCAGTCGAGTCCAAACTGCTTTGCTGCATTCTGAATAACATTTTTATTTGTCCCCTACTCGTTATTTTCAACTTCTAAGATTTAACAGGCCCCATGTGCACAGTGAGGTGAGATGGTGGCAGTGTATGTGCATGCATGTGAATTTTTAGAAATTCCGATTTTAGAAATTCTTTGGAATAATCACACAATGAGTCAAAACCAAACTCAAAGTCACATGAAACTGAAGAGGACCTCCAAACACTATAAATTTTTATCAAAAGAACTCATCTACCAGTGTAAATCAGGGAACTGATCACAAAAAGAAGAAATTCTTCAAAAAATGAAATTGCATGTAAACCAGTGAGGCTACGGAAATCATCTTCCTCTTCATTGTTCATGCGAATAATGTTATTTGCGCTGTGCCTGTTTACAGCATTGCTGCAATATTTTTATCCTTTCAGGCGATACATCTGATTTCAACTGCCATTTGTTCACCAGGTTAGCCCTCCAGGGTTTCACAGGATACTTATGTGGTTTATTCCTATACCTACAGGTATCAAGCCTAGTAGCCCATCCAGGGCTGACGTCGGCCCTCAAGGGAAGGCAGAGGGAGAACCCATGCACTTCCTGCCATCCAAGGAGGCTTCCATAATTGCATAGCCGCCATGATGCTGTGTTCTTTGATGGTATGCTTGTCAAGAGGCAGTGATCTATTCTCATCACAACATAGCCCCAAAACCAACACAGGGCCAAATCTATGAATGAGAGATGTGAGTTTCGACTGCCTGTTTACAAACTTCTCAAATTTTTATGTCTCTCAAAGTGCCGAAAGGTTATAGGAGATTAATCACAGCACAAACTGTTTAACTGTTTCATTAACACTGCATCAATCAATACATACATTCGCAGTATTGATTGATCAACACCCTAAGGCAGGTTGACACATGTCACAGCCCAGTGTGACAAAAATAACCGGTGATTAATGACACCTACACATGCTTAACTTCTTACTGTAAAAAAAATTTTTTATTTCTTGGGTATTTTAAACCATAATAAAATATTCTTGCTGTCCTGTCAGATATAGATGCTATACATTCGCTCTTTCTGAATTATAGTATAATACTTTCTCTACTATATAGTGTTTCTGTTGCTGAACTCAACAGAATTTAGTATATATAATCGTTAAGCTGACACTCTTAAAACGGAATCAGTAGAAGCAGCAAATGTTTCATATTCTTCATGTTTCATATTCTTCTTTTGTCCATATTCTTCTTTGCACATGTGCAGGTTAACGGATAATCATTATCTGAGCTAGGGTACACTTAGCTGCTCGGTATGGCTGTGATGTGGAGTCTCAAGGTATCAGTGACTCCTTCAAACCATCTTCTTAGTCGTTCCCCCTACTTCCTGTTTCTACTTTCAAGTTGTATGCTCTCGCTGCTTGCATCATTGGATTCATTCTCATTAAATGGCCAAAACAATTAATTTAGTTATATAGGTATAATTCCAGTTGTTTTTTCTATAATTTCTTTGTTTCTCACAACATCTTTTTCTTCTAGTGGGCAGCCTTTCTCAAACATCTCATTAGGCAGGTGGTTGGTTTTATTTAATTTTCTATAGTTAAAGTCCAAGTCTTGACACTGAATAGCACCAGTGTTTGGTACTGACAGTTTTACAAAAGAAAGGAAAAATCTTCATGCTCGACTATAGTTTGCTATAAATGTTGTGTTCTTTCTGAGCTATGGTAGCACACTTGCTAGACACTTGCCTGCAATACTAAGGTCTTGGGTTTGAATCCTCACTGGGGCAGAATTTTATATTATTACGTCGGCTCTCAACCAACCTAGCCTGGGTGAGATCCTGGGAAATAAAGGTTACCCGCTTGATAGTGACTGTAGCATCCCCCTAGGTGCAAATTGGTCTTAAAAAAATGTGTTTAGCACCATATGCCTAATGCAAAGAAATTAAAGGGTGTTTTTTTTATGTTGTTTCTGAAGTCAGGTTAACATCTAATATAAATATACACACATACCAGGGGATTCCTCAATTTATGACTGTTGCATTCTGATTAACAGGTCATTGAGTCGAATTGATCTTCTTCTTCGCGTTCACTGGCTGTAAACTCCGGAGGAAAGCTCTGGCTGTTAACCACCTCTGGACTTTATAGACTTGTTCCAGAACCTGAGTGTTGCCTGCACATCTGTTCTACAGATCTGATTTATCTGTATGGAGACTGTTGGTTCCTTGCCTCTCAGGCTGATCCACTCTGACTTCAAAAGAAAACTCCCAATAAGTGCACTCTTACAACGCGCATGTTGGGGAGGGAGTGGGTCTATTCTTGTTTTCCCCCACAAAAGGGCCCCAGAACCCACTTAGGAAAGTCAAACTGATATTTTTCAACACTATTTTTTATTCATATGTGTTTTTAAAAAATGGTGAAAAAAAAGGGAAAAAATTCAAGGGAAATGTGTGTGTGTGTGCAGATGTGTCCATTATTATTAGACTGAAAGATTTAATATTTCAAGGACTGAGATGGCCTGTACCATAAATGGCTGTATAAAATTCTCATAAAAAATCTTGCATTTTGTATAATGAGTGTTTGAAAGACATAAATATTGTATAGAAATTAATTTTACTGTGTGGCAGTCAATCTTATAACAGACCAATCAGGAAGAGATTAACTAACAATCATCCTTACCATCGTTCCTTTTTGTGGAGAAAAAAAATCGTCACATTTAATCAATCGAAGGAGGAGCTTTAAGTTATAATTGTGACTAGGCTATCTGTGCCATATAAACTGGCTTAGCATTGCACGCCTCAAAGAACACTGAAATGGACTCCTACAGTGTTGATGCGATCAAAGAAGCAGACCCAAATACTGTTCAAGCCAGCGACAAAGTCAGCTACCGGCGAGCCAATTAACGACGACCCGGCGGTCACCGATGTGCAGCCTTATCATCCTGTTGTGCCACTATATAGCACATAGGGCTGGCAGTCCGCCATTCCGTTCTATGCTGTACAAAACTTTTGATATCATGAATGGAATCCGGGTCTAGCACCTTCCGTCTCTCGCTCACAGTAATGTTCATCTTAGGGTCTCCCTTGGAAACATTGTTTTTATTTCTCAGTGCTTCTTCCTGTGACGTGCTCAACACATCGCCACCTTCTCTGTCTCCTATACCGACACTGAAATGCTTTGGCCTCATTTAACACTGCAGTGGTTTAAAAGATATGGTACTGTAGGCATCTGTTTTTAACCCCAACAGGACTGTACAACGAGCGGGTGGCACAAATTGCCCCCATTCAGATTATTTCTTCTTCTTCTTGTACACCGGCTGTGAATTCCGGCGGTAAGTCGCGGTTGTTCGTCCAAAATGGACTTTTGGCTTTTACCTTGACCTGAGTTTTGCGTGTACATCCGTTTTACTGGCTTATTTGTTCGCAGTTCTCGTTCCCCGCCTCTCCGGCAGATGTACTCCGACTTCGGGGGAAGACGTCAAGCCTATTTCTAGGTTGACTGTGGCCATTGTTTTGTGTGGGTCGAAATGTTGCCTCATTTGTGTGGTGTCCTCTTTGACCATTAACAGGTGTGGCCCCCGGGATGTCGTCCTTAAGGCAGCTCTATGTAGAGTTTTCAGCCCTCAAGGGAAGGCAGGGGCAGATCATGGGCATTCCCCGCCATCCAAGGAGGCTTCCATAAATGCAGAGCCGACACATGATGCTCTGGTTCTGGGCTCACCCAAGGAATCGTCCCGTCCTGCCCATGACTGCTTAACCTCACAACCGTGTATTGAGCTTCCCGCGCTACAAGGCTGCGCTCTCCAGAGATCAGCGGGGAGCAGCCCGCAGGTCTAGGACGTTTGTGGTCACGCAAATAGGTACATTCTTTTTCATCTTACGTTAGACACCTTTAACGTTGTTTCAGCTGTGCCCTTAGCACGACAGAATGGGGAAGCAAAATGCGTCAGGCGTGGCTTCACCTGTTTGGTCCCAACACTCAGGCGAGTTGGACCAGTGGATACGGACATTCTGACATTTTCCTAATCGGTACAAATTATGATCGTCGGACTTTGAGCTTGCATGTGTGCCGTGGGGTACAACTTTGTCGGACATTATTTTCAAGCCAGCATATGAAAAGTTGCTGCTGTGGTGTACCTCAGCGCGGTGACGACGACACTGAGGATTGAGGATGTACGTAGGTAGGATCTTGCTGCAAGAAGTCACCCACAAGAGATGTTACTCATCTTGGCTGCAGGTAAATCTCTCGGTCAGGGTTGAGTCTCAGCAGCACAGTTTTCCATTCGCTCCCGAATTTTAACCAAGAGTTGTCATTTGATGGTACATTTAGCAAGCAATCCTTCAGTTTTGTTAGGCTTTTCACCCATGCATTTGGGGGCAGGCTGGTGAGAGCCAGAAAGGACACTACACCTCTAGAGGCCGCCAGCTCCGAGATCCCCTGCCAACTCTGTTAATGCTCATTTGAGACATTATCCGTGGCGCACGACGTGGACGTGCGACAGGAGTCTTGCATGACATTCTGTAAAACCAGTACAGTGAAGGACTGGCGCCCGAGTGGGGTACGGAGTATCTCCTTATACACCTCACATCAGACTTAACTTTGCCTCATGCCTGTGACCGAAATCACCGCGCCACCATTCAGATTATGATCACTCAGGTACAAATTCCATGAACCTACTTCAACCTTTACGTTATATTAGGGCTCCTGACAACAGCCGAAGAGGAGCTCTGAAATAACGAAAAACTGTCCCATACTGAGACGAGGGTATAGAAACGGTACTAGAAAACACTGTTTCTGAAAATGGGCAGGTTAACCACATGAAGATGGACACAATAACTGATTATTTAAACTGACCGTCTGTGGGGGGGAGAAGAATATTTATAGGCAACTATAAGAGACGTGTTCTTTTGTCAGTTATTGAGAAGAAAGCCATTGGAGAACACTGTAATGACTGGCAATCTCTCTGGCAAGCCTCTACACCCCAAGGCAGAAGAGGAGCAATGAAGTAAAGTAAATGGCTAGTGCAGTGGCGTACACTGTGCAGAGGTTCTATTTATATCCTCTTCATATCATTCTTATTTTTATTCTTTATATTCACCTGCTGTAAACTCAAGTGGTAAGTTCTGGATGTTCGTCCACCTCCGGACATTAGTCTTGTTCCAGAACCTGAGTGTTGATCGCATATCCATTTCACAGATATGGCTCATTTGTATGCAAACTCTTGGTTCCTTGCCTCTCAGGCAGATATAATCCGACTTTGAAGGATGCTCCTAATTAGTCAACTCCTATGAAATGGTTGTTGAGGAAGCAGCAAATCTATTCCTGTCTTCCCTACCCAGGCCCCTGAACCCACACGAACATGTCATTCAAATATGAGCTCCACTGCTGCTGCTTTTCTGTGCATGATCTCCCATGTAGTTTTACATATCTTCATTTCCCTTTCCACTGCCCTTTTATCCAGGTTTTCTTCGGTTGTCCATTCTCTTTTTTTTATCAGCCATTCACTGGAGAGCTGTTCTAGCCAAGTTGTGTCATGAGGCATTCTGCAAACATGCCCAATTCATGCCATTTTCTTCATTTGATAATGTCTGCCAGTGATGAATGTTTTCTTCCCCCTCTTTAGTTCATTTGCAATTTTGTTTGGCCAAAATATAAGCAGGATTCTTCTTCAACAATTATTATGAAACATATCTAGTTTATGTAAAATTCACTTTTCCACAATACTGTCCAGGTAATGATGATTATTTCTGGTCTTCCCAGGAAAAACTTCCATCTCTCTTACTGAGAATATGAACCTGGTCTCCTGCATCAGAGTTTAATGATCTAGCCATTCGGGCAGCCATTCCTCACAAACATGATACTCACTTGGCCAAATTCTGATAATGCCTGTGACAAGCTGTACTCCTCATTTTGAGGTCTTGGCACTGGAACCTCATCAGGTGCAATAAGTCTGCCGCTGAACCGAGGGCCCCTGTTGGCCCTCATGATATCCAATGGTGAGGACAGGGCCACGTTGTGTACGTAGTACACACTGACCATCACCGAACACAGGCACATCGTAAGGATTACCACTAGTGCAACAGAAGGACGTACCTAAGTAGGGAGAAATTAAGAATTACTACATAAAGATACAACCTCATTCATCATGAATAACTTTAAACATACATGTATCCTCTTCACATTTACAGGCTGTAAACTCTGGCAGAAAATTATGAGTGTTCGTCCACCAAAAGACTTTACTCTTGTTCCAGAACCTGAGTGTTGCATGCATCATTCATTTCACAGATTGAGCATATTCATATGCAGACTCTTGGTTTCTTGCCTCTCGCGCAGATGTACTCTGACTACAAAAAATACCCCCACTTAGTCGACTCCTATGTCATGCTTGGTAGGGAAGCAGTGGTTCTATTCTTGTTTTCCCCACAATGAGTCTACACAGGAAAATTGGGGCCCCAGAACTCACACAGTGATAACACACACATTTGAATGTATATATATCTCACAGATTTAATGTGTAGTTACTCATCATTCATTTACTGCTAAATCTGTTATTGCAGGGAGCCCCTGTTGTTTCCTTCCAGACAACAGTGTTATACTGTGCTAGATGGAGGCTTGGGAACCACAGCCCATGGCAATGGCGAGTGTGACTTGCAAAATTTGCTCACTTAAAGATACGACTTCCAGATACTTGAGATTTGAGGACATTTGTTGTTTCAAGTACTTAATGAATGTCTTTACTGCTAAATAAAACATACATTATTACATAATATTAATCGCTTTGCAAAAGATGGAAGAACCCATAAAAATGTTTCTGTCAGTATACAGTATTGGAACATTCTGTGAGCATCTTTTTTTAATGCTACTGTAACAATCGTCGGCTCTGTGGCTAAGCCACTGCGAACGCTTCAAAATGCCGGGTTCGATCCCAGCTGCGGGCCATACGCCTTGCGTTGGTTTCGACAGTAAAATCAAGAAAGCCGACCACCCAGAAAGCAATGGCAAACTACTGGACATAAATTTGCCTAGAAAAACCACACAACAGCCAGGGGCTGTTGAAATTGGTCCTGCAACGTCCTGTAAATGATACGCAACTAACCTAACCTGATTGCAACATACACTCAGTACTGAGTACCAGCACCTTTTTTGTGTTTGGACATTTTGCGATCCTAATTTTCGAGGAAAGAGGCATTGGAAGGACTCAACGTAAGAGAGGCCAGTGTGGCTAATCTGATACTCTTTGAAAATAATATTTGTTCACGCATATATTTGTTCTTAATTTTACCTGCATAGTCTCCTAATGTTCTTGCTCCAGCAAAAGATGAAGCAAAGGACCCTTTTCATATAATGGAAGACTCAGATTTTTATAGCCCAATAAGAACTAGATGGGTGATGTGGTCAACATCCTGCTAAATCCAAGACTGTCATGCCAGCAGAAAAGCATCTAGCCACTAGACCACCATACCTCTAGCCAAAGAATATCATAAATCTCAAACTTTTTAGAAGAAGAAAAAAGGTGCCGGCACACACCACCATTTGTCTAACAAAAGGTGCAGTTATGCACCACACAATGTCTTTTACAGTAGTGCTGAAAAAAAAAAATGCTTCAAAAAAAGGTGCCGGTAATGCACACTCCACACCATCAGAAAAAAGTCCTGAATGTTAACTAAAATCTCATTTAACAACAGTCAACTGACACTGACTCAGTAATATGATAATTTCTAAAAATAATGCATCATCTAAGCCAGCTTTTAAAGTTATAATTGCAGGCTTGAACCAGCTCAGTGTATAAAAACAGACTAGCATGCCGCCCGCCCGCCGGCATGTACCGGTATGTGTTACATACCAGCAGTATGCAGCACACACACACACTGGCCTACTAGGGACATTCTTGGCAAATTTCTGTCTGTGAATTTTAATTACATCAAACAAAGAACTAACTACACATCACATTTGCATGTCTTCCTTCCCTGGCCTATCCCAGAGACATTCTCACAAAGTGGGAGCTGTACATTGAATTGTTTAGACTGAAGAGTGTGAACTGAATTAGCCTCAAGTTTCCACAGATGAAAGAAACAGAGTAAAAGTGGTTTTATGCTAACACTGTATGACAGGACTACAGCAAGAACAATAAAAATGTGTGCACCAGCTTGTTTTTGCTCACATAGTTTTATACCGAGCATAAAATGACTACTCTCTTCAGTATTTCTTTTGGAAACTGCTCCCCCCCCCCCCCCAGTCTCTGCGACAATCCCAGTATCTGTGACACCTCTAGTCTCTGCGACAATCCCAGTCTGTGACATTCCTAGTCTCTGTGACATTCCTAGTCTCTGTGACAATCCCAGTCTCTGTGACAATCCCAGTCTCTGTGACAATCCCAGTCTCTGCGACAATCCCAGTCTCTGTGACAATCCCAGTCTCTGCGACAATCCCAGTCTCTGTGACAATCCCAGTCTCTGTGACATTCCTAGTCTCTGTGACATTCCTAGTGTCTGTGACAATCCCAGTCTCTGTGACAATCCCAGTCTCTGTGACAATCCCAGTCTCTGTGACATTCCTAGTCTCTGTGACATTCCTAGTGTCTGTGACAATCCCAGTCTCTGTGACAATCCCAGTCTCTGTGACATTCCTTGTCTCTGCGAAATCCTAATCTCTGTGACAATCCTAGTCTCTGTGACAATCCCAGTCTCTGTGACATCTCCAGTCTCTGTGGCAATCCCAGTCTCTGTGACATCCCTAGTCTCTGCGACAATCCCAGTCTCTGCGACAATCCCACTCCCTGTGACATTCCTAGTCTCTGCGACAATCACAGTCTCTGTGACAATCCCAGTCCCTGTGACATCCATAGTCTCTGTGACAATCCCAGTCCCTGTGACATCCATAGTCTCTGTGACAATCCCAGTCTCTGTGACATCCCTAGTCTCTGTGACAATCCCAGTCTCTGTGACAATCCCAGTCTCCAGAGCTACAGAGTTTGTGCTTTGTGCGAGATTTGATTCTGTTGGGGACTGAATGAAGACCACTGCCTTGACTGACAAAATAGCATTTATAACTGAGCTGCCAAATACACAGTTTCCCATGAGTCTCCGTACATAGGAACAATAAACGCATCACCAATGTCAATACAAACATAACTCTAGCTGTGCTTATTTATTCATGACTCCATTGCTAAAGAACACAGATAAGCACAGCTGGAGTTACGCTTGTTATGATGTTGGGGAGACGTTTATTGTTCTTATATTTGGAAACTTATGGGACACTTGGTACAATATCACTTATAAAAATCTTTTTAAATTTTAGGCAGCTTCTGTTGGTACTGTAAACGGTTCTCTAGTAGAGAAATGCAAATTAATTATACCCACTATTTAATTGTAATATCCAATAATCAATTTTGTTGTAAATAATTTTGTATTGCTAAAACATTTGGTTCAATTCAGCTACAGGCAATCATGCCCCTTTGCATCAACTTCAACAATGGTATGCAGCAATGACTGTTCAGCAGCAATGGCAAACTACTGAACTACATCAACAACTGCCTTTAAAAGAACAAACAGCCAATAAATGCTGCAGTTGGTCAGCAACATCTTGTAAAGGATACAGAACTAACTTTTGTAATTAACATCATACCACACAGGGCACACCCATGTGTGTACTCGTCACCCTCAGCAGAAAGTCAGGAGGAAAACAGACTGTCCCAGCAGAACAGTGAATGTGGTGTCATCCCCTGCCCCTCTGCACTCCTGCCATTATCACATGTGGTGCTAAATGCCACAAGTCCTTGTCATCATCATTTATTAATTTATCACAGCCAGCAGTACCCTGTCATGTGTGTCACATATTACTTGTCCTTGGTTTGTTGTTCCCTTGCCTATCAGGCAGAGGCACTGCCACTTCGAAGAGAAGGACTGCCCTTTGCATATCGAGTCTCCATAATTAGTGTGCCTGAAAAGACATCAGCCACCGTCTCCCCACTTTTAATTACTAAAAACCTGTACATGAATGGGCAAGCAAATGCACCTAAGGGTTTATAGATGTTCATTTTTAAATTTCTAGTATCAATTCTGTGATTACCTCTGTGCAGGTTCTGCAATTATGGGAGGGGGAGGGAGTGAAGGAGGGGAGACCAACTACCTCCCTCCCATACCTAATATGCATGTCATATGTGTATGTGAACTGTGTATCTGTCATAAACACAACTAATTAGGAGTGTACTGAAATCAAATGTGTTGAGCCTAAACGGTGCAGATACTGCAGCTTAACTGTGAACTAAACCAATGTTCCAACTGCCCTTTGATGGAGAACGTAGAAGAATAACTCTGTGATGGTGGCTCATCCTTAGAGTCCATTCCAGGTGACTATGATAATCAATCTGTCCATAAGCTTCTGGACCAAAAAACTTTTCTGATTGATACAGATCTTTAATGCAGGGCCATTATGCCAAACTATCAATCCCCCCCCCCCCTCCTTCTATCTCTCCCACTGTTCCTATCCAGCTGTAATTTTTTAATACAGATTCTTTCATCTGGGTTCTAGGACCCAACCGGGGGGTTGGGTGGGGGGGGGGGGGGGGGGGGGGGGGGGGGGGAGAGATATGACCAACTGCCTCCCTAACAAACATGTTATAAGAGGCGACTTATTAGGGGTGTTTTAAAATTCAGATTACACATTACTTAGAGACGAGGAACCAGCAGTCTCAAACAAATAAGCCAGATCTGTAAAACAGATGTGCAAGCAAAAATCATGTCCTGGAACAAACAAACTCCAGAACTGAAAAAACAACCAGGAATTTCTGCCTGTTTGCAACCAGTGAATGCAAACAACAACTGTACATATGCCAGTTTTTGTCTCCTGGTGTGACCAGAAAATGGTAATTGCACACTTTTGATATCTGTAATCTCTTATCTTTCAGTTAAATTATGTCCTTCGGCTATCCTCCGAATAATGGTCCTAAACTATCGAGGCGGAAATATACCCCAACAGGGCCTCAGTCACGTGTCAATTGCGCATTTCCGTCGCCTCAAATTGCGCACTTCTGGCGACTTCGGCCACAGCCGAGAGTATCCCCCACACCGCATGGGTTGGGGCTAAACTAAATGCATGGGACTCATGGACAGCAGCTACTGCATCTCCTGCAGCTTCCTTCATTTTATTTGCTCGTGAGTCCTAGCAATCTAGTTTAGCCCCAATCCACGCTGTATGAGTGGCGTAGGGGATATTCTCAGCGGTGGCGGAAGTCGCCAGAAGTTCGCAATTCGGCAATGGCGTTATAGTCCCCGGAAGTGCGCAATTGACACGTGGCGGAGGCCTTGTTAGGGTATATTTTCCGCCTTGATAATTTAGGACCGTTATTTGGAAGATAGCAAGTCCATCTTATTCTTTAACCACAATATTCTCATCACCAACTTAAACAATGCATTAAAATTGGCACACAGAAGATCCTTACATCTCCCCATGACACTATGATGAGGTAAATGGAGGAAGAGAAAAAGATCATTCCCCTAAATCTTCTAGATCAGTGGCTCTCAACCTTCCTAATGCCGCGACTATTGAATACAGTTCCCTCGTGTTGTGGCAACCTCTAAACAGTTATTTTCCTTCATAATTCCAAAAAATATGTGTTTTTTGAAGGTCTCAGGCGACCCTTGTGAAAGGGTCATTCGACCCACACAAAAAAAGAGTTGCGGCCCACATGGCTGAGAGCGGTTGTTCTAGATGCACTTCACTATCATATATACTAGTCCTAAAAATCATACTGCCTGCCTCCTCCAGGAAGAGTTGTGGACTAGTCACTGGCAAGCCACAGCACTACTGAATGTTATGAATTTTGCAGTGTTTTCTTCTTCGATCCTTCAGTCAGAAAATTCATACCAGAAGCCTTAGTTAGGATATGACACAGTGATTCTCTCCAGAGAGGCGACGAAGCTAGTCCTGGGGATAATTTGGTGTGGGTATCCGGCCAATTTTCTTGAATACCAGTCTTTATTAAATTTTATGACTTAGGACTAGTAGTCTCTTGGTGGGTTAAGTCATAATTTCTTTTTCTTCTTCAATACATTCAGTTTCATATTTTCAGGTCAGATGGGCTGCCTCAATGAATTTGCAGGTCATGTTGCAGTTTGCAGGTCTGCCTTTGTTTTCCCCTTGCGTGCTGAGCAAGTTGCTCTGAACACTTTGCTATTGGGGCCATTGTAGTTAAAAAAAATATTAGTCAAAACATATCTGTCAATAGATCTTTTTTATAACTGCTTTAGTCTTAGTTAAGAGTACTTACCTAACAAAACTGAGGATGCAATTGATGAAAAAGTTATAAATAAATCGTCTTACTCTCAAGTTAAAATTACCAAAGGCCAAAGGTTATATAACTTATATCCATATCAAAAGAGTGAATTAACTGTCTGAGATCTCATGTCCTGATACAAATCAACATGACTTTGGGAACGCATCAATTCAGATTCACTTACAATACAACGCATAAACTCGCCCTACCCTGATTTCTGCATTTCATTTCAAATGAGTTTACAGACACAAGAAGGAAAGGCAATTTATTGAGCATAAACTTCCTAGCAGCAAATTTTCACGTTAAGTTAAGTTAAACAAGATTACTACAGTTTAATTAGTTACTTGGCACATGTCTCGCAAACTGAACAAAGCTTCTCTTTATGCTGTACTACTACTGCTGCTGCTAGCTTATTGATCGTGAAGGGAAGGAGTGTGGAGTCCACAGTGGACACGGTGCTTTCTCTTCTGAGGAGCTCGCTTATTTGGCCATCACACACTCAGTACTTACACACCATTTATTCTTGCACGCTGCAACGCACTAAAGCAACTACAACCAACTAAACCGACTTACTTGAAACACGTTGAAAGTAAATTTTCTCATTATCTGTGCCTTGTCTCATGTTTAGCTCCTGATAAACTTCCATTAATCTAATTTGACGGAGAGAGGGCAGGTCACGCACCTACTACCACAGCCATCTTTTTTCCAGGATTCAGAGCCGGTGAGAACCAGCAGCGTGAACTGTGACCTCATGGCTCAGATCCTAACTCCCAACCCAAGTGGAGCCAACACATTCTAGGGTGTTTCTACATTATTTTGTGCGTGTTCTTGGTTGCCAACTAGTGTTTCTGTTATATTGAAACATACTTGTGTTATTTTTAATCTGAACTCTTTTTGTTTCAGTCACCTGTTATTTGTATATTGGTTCTTTCTATAATTTATTATAAAATGCACATAGATTAGCCTCACAACTTCGCCCCAATGCTGTTGATATTCGTCCTCACGTGGGATGCAATTTTTGTTGTTTGAAGCCCCACCCTGGCTTTTGGGGCCCTGAATATAGCCGGGCCATATAAATATATTGCCTCACGGCTGCAAGGGGTTTCTATGACCCTTCCACTGGTGGTCCTCATCCGCATGGTGGCACTTTGTGTCACTGGATATTTATCTCTTGTGTGATGTCCTGGTGTCGGCTCTGTGGCTAAGTCGATGCGAACGCTTCGTAATGCCGGGATGCCAGGTTCGATCCCAGCTGCGGGCCATGTGACTTGCGTTTGTTTCGACAGTGGTATCAAGAAAGCCGACCGTCCAGTAGCAATGGCGAACTATTGGAAGTAAATTTGCCTAGAAAAACCACACAACAGCCAGGAGCTGTTGGGGTTGGTTCTGCAACGTCCTGTAAAGGATACGCAAACGATGTCCTGGTGGGGTACAACTACCTACCTACCAACACTGAGGTATTCATAGTAGTAGTGGGTGGTGGAGTAGGGGGAAGACATAAGGATAAGAAGAAGAATTGCTCCTGCTGTTTGTTCTGTGCTCGAAGCGTTGACATTCCGTCCTGCCCAAAGTTAGTTGCGTGTCCTTACCTGCGGGTATGTCAAACTGGCGGCCCGCATGCAGTACTTTGTAAGCACATCTGCGGCCCGCACAAATTAAATATGCTGCAATACTCTTTATTAATTTAATCATATTAATTGTTGTGTGTGACCTTTATGACGACAAAATTTGGCCCTCATAGGACCCTCAGTTTGACAGAACTACTTTACAGTAGGATGCAGACCCAACTCGGCATGTTTGGCCATTTGTGGTTTCACTAAGCAGTGTTTACGTTCAGCAGAATGCCACTAAGTTTTGTTTTTTTCGTCTAAACGGTCGGTTTTCGAAACCATGGTCGCTACCAGCACAAAGCTGTCTGCTGCCAAATCACTGGCAGCTGCGATCAAATCTGAAACCTCGGAATTACAAAGAGCGATCGCGTCTAAATCATAGACACCGACTGCAAAACAAAAAGTAAATCATGTGTTTTTTTTTTTTTTTTTTAATACCAATACCCACATATTTTATTTACAAACAGCATGTAGACAAGGCACTGTCGCTCCCGAACGGTAATTGTAACTAGCGTTATGTGAAGTGTTTGTTACATTGCAGATATGCTTAATTTGTCTAAACGATTTATTTGTATTCACTTGAGGTTTGAACAACGGATCAACATCTAACCCATAAGTGCTTCGTTCTTCTTAAAACTCAAGTCTGAGTCCGAAGAAGTTCAGCATAGTGCACAGACTCTGTAGCACCGGCGAGCATCTTGAAATACTTTAAGTAGATTTTAAACTTCAAATTTCGCCTGGGCAGCACTGTTAGGCTAGTCTTTTCGATTTCCATCTGCCAAAGGATTTTTTACGTGCGCAACAATGCACACGGGCTTCCGAAAACCAAAAGTTCAAACGGACGATTAACCGGGACCTTCCGCCGGAATTCACAGCCGGTGAGCGAAGAAGAAGAAGAAGAAGACTACCCAGAGACCAGGGGGAATTACTAAAAGTCTAAGTCCAAGTGAAAAAATCCCAGCCATTACCGGGGATTGAACCCGGAACCTCTAGCAGTCGAGGCTGACACCATGCCTCGATACCACGCAGCGCCCCTATTTGTATTCACTTGTAGCAAGCCATCGTGTCCCTGGAGACTAGGGAGTTGTGCAGCTGGTTCTGTGAACAGCGTCTGCAATGGCTGTAAAGTCTGTCAAGCGATGTTAGAGTAACCTCTCCAGGAAACAAGCCTCAACATGTTGAACTGGAATTTGGGCTGTTGCCCTCGCCGCATGTACCCCCTCTCTACGTCGCTGGTAATATCAAGGGAAGGGCAAGTGACAATACAGCTTGGCACCGAAGAGGTTGCATGAATTGCCGGGGCGTCAGTGTAAACACCAAAGACCAAAACCTGACTGAGTTTACCGGGACAAAACGGTATAAGCCATCACATTCACATTTATTATTTTACACTTTAATTTATATGAATGCTTTTCTCTGTAAATTTTACGCTCGTCTCCCCAATAACACTCGTCTACTCACTAGATGGCTTCTGATTGGACGACCTACTGACTTCGGCCTTGATTCCATTGTAGATACTGTTAATCTGGGAGAAATGTGGCTTGTCTGCCTACCCGCGGGAGTGAACCCGGACCACAAGGAGTTCCTCACCCGACAGCTGCGAAAGTCACTTTTAACCAGCTACGCTAGAGAGCCGGGCAACGACGACATACTGACTAGCTTACTTCTGATAGTCGGCCTCGAACGATCCGACTGTCACACAAGGACAAGGGGATATTTTCGCACTCGCGCTCATAGCGAGTGTTGTATATTTCACCAGGCCAGACCTTTTAACACTTCTAAAACATTTAGATACTAGATCACACCCCGCCCCCTCATCTAAAGAGTGACAAACCCTATATCACAGGCCGTCTCTTTCTCGGAAATAAAAACGTAAATACCAGACAACCACAGACTGCGACATCCATAACCTCGACCACGATAGACTAGTCCAACTAACAACGGAGTTGACATACAACCGGTGATGTGCTAATGGGGAGACGAGCGTAAAATGCACCCTTTTCTCTAAGTTTTTGATACTAGTGCATGGTAATTAATTTTTATTAAATTTATATAAAATATTTTTTTTAGTGGGAGAGGGTGGGTGAGGGGGTCTTGTGAATTTTTCAGACGGGGGTCACATGAAAAAGGTTGAAACCCTACTACACTATAGAAATTCAATATTTTGATTCTCTCTCTCTCTCTCTCTCTCTCTCTCTCTCTCTCTCTCTCTCTCTCTCTCTCCCTTCCTTCCTTCCTTCCTTCCTCCCTCCCTCTCACCCTCCCTCTCTCTCTCTTTCTCTCTCCCTCTCTCTCTCAGTTATCCCCTGTTTTCACACCAGAGCTCCTTGTCAAGACCGTACACTGGCTTCAATACTTTCATGAACGAACTATTTGAATTTCCTTCAAGGCTCATCCAGTATTATACCGTGTCCTGAAAACCCGAGGTGCGTGCGATTTCATCGCCTACTTCGGCCAGAATGACACACAAAGAAAAGAAAAACTAAGCACAACAAAGAAAGTATAAAGACTTGGAACCTATTCAAAACATTTTTGAAACTTCTGCATCCAATTTCCTCAATTATTACAAGAACCATACAAATCAAGCTAACATTTCTTTTAAAAAGTGTACTTCCGTTTACAATCAGAGTTATAGAACCTGTCAGGGAAAAAAAAGCGGTGGACCGTGAAAGAGATAAAAGGACCTCTCAATATTTATCTTTCCGCTGAACATATTAGAAACTTTTCTCTATTTTAATTATTGTTACTGGTACTTCAACATACAACGGAATTACACTTTACCATCAGTTACTTTACAACTGGGGTTGACGATGATGCTTCTAAAAATATTGGGATCTCCAAAAGCATGCAAAGTCTGAAGTAGATAAGTGCCATTATAAAGATGAAGTATTGATAATCTGACAAAATGATAAACTCGAACATGAACATGATTAAACTGTTTTTCTGCTTTGAAACTGGAAAAAAAAATATGTAATGGAATATGCACATGATACATTCTTAAGGACTTCTTCTTCTTCTTCTGTGTTTGTCCTCAAAGGGGGGGGGGGGGGGGGGGGGGGGTCCCTCACGTTGTGTTGTGGTTAACAGCTAGGCTGTGATTTCTACGCCTTTTGGCCCAACATCCACTTTTGTTCAGAACTATTATCAGAACTGGCCATTTAATCAGGCTTTTATTTTTAGGGTTCCTTTAGTCCCCACAAACGCACGTTGCAATAATCCTGACTAAAAGATGCCGATATTGGGTACTGTTAAGTACCGACATAAAAAAAAGCCCGTTAGGTTACTAAGACATCCATAATGATCATACAGTATAATTCAAAAAATTATAGATCTTATAGTCTCTGAAGAATAATTTACTTTCAGTGAAAGTAATAGCACTTCTTCATTAAGTCTATGCCGTGTGGCATTGGTAGTCATATCTATCCACAACCTTCTGTTTTGTGTACTTTTGATTCAACTCTGACACAGATGATTCTCCATGCCTTAATGTCAGACTGTCCAGTATCTTCTCTCTTGGTCTTCTCCCCTCCAACTTTCCCACCGTCATGATATACGCCAGTTTTCTCCTTCTCATCATATGACTAAAAAAATGCACTGTCTCTTTCTGATGTGGGCAATCAGTTCTTTTTGTAAGTCAGTAATAGCATTAAAGAAGTCATAATGGGTGTGCTGTTTTATAGCCTACAAGAACACCTGGTCTGGTAGTCTGGTAGTCTTAGTTTCAGCTTCATAGCAAACGGGTTGCCCCATCTTTGCTCCGCTCCTGTGCCAGCGAAAAACACTCAGAATGTCTATCACAGTCCCTTGTGGAAAGATTGACAGACTGCTGTCTCAGCATATCTAGCATACACTCGCATTAAAGTATATGGTAGCCATCCGAAGTGCTAACACAAACAGTCCAACATTAGAAATGCAGTTCATCATTGATGATAGCAGAACTTGTCGTCAACAGATCAGCAGTTGTCCGCGTGATCAATTTTAATACGGGTCCCG